CCGGGTTGTGGTGCCTGGGGGGTTGTTCCTTCAGCATCCCGGGAGGATCGGACCGTCTGTTTTGCTTTAAGTGGCATTCTGGTTTTCGTGAGAAAATAACAACGATTTTAGCGAGATTATAAAGTTCCGATGAGGATTGTCCCCAGCGTAAAAGCTGCCCAAGTTTCCTAGACGTGTGTTGTACTAAACGTGGACTTCCAACTTTTCCCTGCTGCATAAATAGGGTGTATTTTTTTCCATTATGTGACTACATTTTTTTTTTCCAACTCGTGGTGTTTTACAAGGCAAGCCACATTTCTCCTAAAAAACATTGTTCTTAGGAAAGTCTTGTAACAGTAATTGCCCAGTTTTCATTAGTGCTCACAACAGCTCCTGTAAGTGATGTCCCCATTCTAAATACCTGCAATGCTTATTCTTTCACATCACCTGAATGAAATATGAATGTTTGAAAGTTTTGAAAGTATATAATTTATAAAGTCTCTGAAGTTATTTGCTGTAAGTGGTAAAAAGAAAACTGGTTATTAAAATCCATGCCAGGCGTTCCTTCCCATTACTCCTAGAACCAAAACATTCTTTCCTATGCCAGGTGATGGCCTTGTTTGTTGGAAGGCATGTGTGGAAGGATGTATCCTAGGTAGCATTTTAATTTAGATCAGAAGTGAGCTCTTGAAGTGAATCTCCCAGTTCTCCCCATTTGCCATGCTTTGTGAAGATTAGTGATCTTCCAATTTAAAAGTTCCTGAGATGTGTATTGTGTGAATGCCACAATCAGATACTTTTCCATATTGATTTGCACTTAGCAGCGCTGTCCCAGTTATGCAGACATTGCAGCCAGAGCTGGGAAACCTGTGTGCAGTTTCTAAGGAATAACAGTGGCATAACCTTGTCACCCTGTTCCAGACTGGAAAAACAACGTGTGTATTCTCCTGGAGGATGAGAGCAATCCTGTGTTTAGACATGGCCTTGCTGTGTGTTTGGGACCTGTGTTTTGTACCATGTTGTGGAATCCACAGTCAAAGAGACAAATTTTAATGCCATTTTGAAGTGAAGAAAAATTCAGAAGGAACTGGTCATTTCTGCTGTAAGGTGTCCTTTCAGGGAGGAAAATAGGAAATATCATAAGGAGCTGACCTTTGCTACCAAGAAAAATGTAAGTAACACAAGATATGCAAAAGAACATAAATGCAGGTTGGTGTAAGTATAATGCAAGTATTTTGCAAATACAAAGTGCTACACTGCTTTATTCTTCTACCCTTTTTCATGAGATTATCTAAAGATAAGGAGGCTAGTCCTTAATTTTAATATTAAAAGTATTTTGCAACCAAGATTTTTGACTTCTTAGAGAATTCTTTTCTAATTGTAATACTATCAGTTATTTAATCCTAAAGAAAAAACTATATTCCATCTGAGATACTAATTATGTGCTTCCCTACACAAGCTAAATCCTGAAATACCCAACTTCACCATTTAGAGAGAATAAGTATACTGCACATGAACCTTTTGAAGGTAGTATCTGGAGATCAGAGCTCTCAAGTGCTTCATGTTGTATCTAGTAATTGTCTCAGATGTATTTCATTTGAGGAATTCTCCCAGTACTTGTGTACCTAATTAAATAAGCCACATGTTAGAAGTGGCAGTACCCTAATGTCATTTTTTCAACCTCATTGAGCCTAATAAAATATACTTTCCCTGGTGATGCTATTACAGCTGCTACAGATCCCATATGGGAAGATGTTGTGCTTATTTGAGACAAGGCTACAAATAGTTCCCCCAGAATCCTCCAGCTGTACCAGATAGTAAAAGAAGTTCCATTGGAAACATCAGCAGGAGAAGCAGATAGGTATGTCAAAGTATTGTCCAAAGGGTCAAACATTCTAACAGTGAAAATGTTTACAAAGAAGCCTTAACAGATTGTGGGTTTTCTTTGCTTGCAGAGGAGTCTGAAATTTTTAACTTCATTTTTTTATGTTTATAACGGTACACAGAATTCTACTGTGTACCTCTACTATATCTCACCCAAATCATGCTTCCTGTAACGTGCATCTATTATTTTGGTAGAACCTTTGAATAGAAGTAAAATAGAAGAGTTTAGTAGTGTGACCGCATGGCTAACAAATCATGAAAAATTATGTCTTCTTGTGTTCCTTGACATTTATGCCATCACCTTCATATTAGTTCATGAAATGTTGGCTTTAACTGATCTAAGAGAAGAGTCAAAGTAAAAATTTCCACCTTAAATAGTCAGATTTTGATTCTGTTTTCCAAGTGTCTTGTAAGTTTAAGTTGATTTGAACCTTACACATTGCATCATAATTTGTACGTGTAAGGGGAGTGAATAATGTTCTATGAAAAGAAGTAATTTTGACATTATGTAACTTGAGTGTTTGAACTTGCAAATGGAGCATTTTCTCACAGTAGCTTTTGCATTTGATTTCCTAAATAAAAAAGGAATGATGGCAGCTGTCCACTGATTCCTTTGTGGTTTACTAACGTGACCTGTCCTACCATGTTACTCCACCCAGCGCCTCCTTGCAATTGTTATTGTACTCACACTGGGTTTGTTTCTACCCACTGTGACTGCCAGGCTCTTCCTCACCTCTGCTGTTCCTTTCCAATATGATCTCGCTTCTTGTCTGGTTCCCGTTATTCCTTTACATTCCACAGCCCTGTATCACTTCCTGCTACTAATGCTGTTCTTTTCCCCCTTCCCTCCCTTTCCATTTGGTTCAGGGTGTTTTCTTCCTTCTGGTTTTTATCACTTTCTTTTTTCCGGCAAAAGACTGATGTGCTGCCTTTATCTTCTCCTGCAAAATCTGGAACACAGCAGCACAATGGCATCCATTTCCTCAGGGAAAACTACTGAGAATACATACATTCTCTTCAGAGAATGGCAGCTGTTATGGCAGCACGAAGAGGACTATTCTTCAGATTTCTCAGAAGCACAGGGTATTTTTAATAAAAGCATCATGCTATTCTTTTCTATATGGAAATGTTTTCCTTAAATATGCATATGGAAACATTTTAGATGAAACTTTCCAAAATAACTCAGCATAAAGAAGGTAGCTGTTATGAAAAGTATTAACTCAAAAATTAAATGTTTGTTAGCAAAACAATAAGTGCCTGTGTTCTGCCTTTTAATAGAAAAGATTAGGCAAAACTTAATATAGAAATGAGGAGACTCCATCTGTAATAACAAGGGGAAAAAATAAATATCCAGTGGGAACTACTTGAAATTGGCTTTAATATTTAAGGGCTAATGGGGAATGATAACTCAACCATTTAGATCTTGTGCCTGAATCTTGTTATCAGACTTGACATAACAGAGGACTCCTTCTCATAAAACTGTTCTTCTAATAACACTTTAATAAAGCATGTATTGGAGTTCAAGAGGACTAGTTACAGACTTAGATTTAATCACACCTCTCTCTAAAGGGTAATGACCTTGGGTGGTAATTTGTCTTGTCACTCTACTAAATTATGTCTGAAAAAGTGAGACTTCAAGATGACTTAAGAAATACCATTGCATAATTCTTTGAATTTAAACCAAACTATATCTAGAGAGAAATTCTGGAGAACTTTAAGAGAACTGGTTTACTCAATAAACTAGGAATGTTGCTTGCCAAATTGTTTTTCTGAAACTTTTACATGGCAAAGAGGAATACTGGTCATATCAAAGTTTCAGAGGTAAAAACTCAGTAAGTT